ATACCAAAAGACTTCAAATTCAAGCTAACAAGTGATATCAGCAAAAATACTGAAGTTGAGAAAATTCTCTCTTCCATAAAAGTAATGAGAAACTGGCAGCAATTACAGAATCAACTTTTTCTGCAAGCTAATCAAAGGCTTCAAGCAATCTATACAAGAATATTTATACCAAAAAGATTTATACATTATGCCTGTAATCCCAGAGGACTGCCTGATCCCAGGGGTTCAAGAACAGCCTGGGCAACTTGGCAAAACCTCGTCTCACAATAAATGAAAAAATTAGCTGGGCGTGGTGGCACACACCTGTAGTTTCAGCTACTAGGAAGGCTAAGATGGAAGGATCGCCTGAGCCCAGCAGGTTGAGGCTGCAGTAGCCGTATCACTCCAGCATGGATGACACAGTGAGACATCAATTGAAAAAAAAATTGAAAATATTTTTAAAAGGCTGCAACATAGGGAGAACCATAGTTCCGCATCATCTTAACTTGTCCTATTTTCATCCAGCCCTCTCCAGTTCCACATTAGCTTTGAGAACCAATCATCTGAGATAAGAGCAAAAACCAGCAGCCTGGCAACCGCTGGAGGAGGCAGAAGTGGGTTCGAGGTGTCAAAGGCTTGCTCCCAAAAAACTGTAATTATTTGACCTAATAAGATGGTTCCCTTGAAGACCTCACTTGCAAGACTGATTAATGAATTGACTCAGAGTTTTCACCCAGGATGAAAAACCTGTGTTCCATGGCATTAGTCAAAAACATACAAAGGCAACTTTAACTTACCTGCTACCTGGGGTGGTGGATAAACAGTTGGGATAAGTAATCACTTAATAAAAAACTTTAAAACTTATTTAAAGGACAAGCTGGAGGATGAAATGTCCATAAAGGTTTTGAAAAACTCTGCTATATTCCTGAGAATTGAGAAGCCCACCTATATACACTGAGCTGAGAATATACCCAGCACTGTGATATGCTCAGGAAGGATATGAGAAGGCTATAAGCTGTCACTTCTGAGTGACCTTAAGGTTTGGAGAAAGCAGGAAGTGAAGACTAATACAGAGTAGTACATGGCCTGGATGACTGCAGAAGAAATGCCACAGCACTCACAAGGCCCCTGGTAAAGACTGAGATGCTTGGTTTCAGGCATTTAAGGAAATTTCTGCAGAGACTTCTGCTGCCACACACAACAAATACAGGCACTACTGAATTTGTTTTTAAAAGTGACTGGACAGGCCAAGCACAGTGGCTCATGCCTATAATCCCAGCACTTTGGGAGGCAGAAGCAAGAGGATTGCCTGAACCCAGGGGTTCGAGACCAGCCTGAACATAGCAAGACCTTGTTTCTACAATAAATCAAAAAATAAGCCGGGCATGGTGGCATGTACCTGTGGTACCAGCTACTTGGAAAGCTACAGCGGAAGGATCACCTGAGCCCAGCAGATGGAGACTGTGGTGGCAGTGAACATGCCACCTCACTCCATCCTGGCTGAGAGAATGAGACTTCAAGTCAAAACAAAACACTCAATGGACAAATTTCAACAACAACCCCTGGGAGGAGAGAAATTCTTCTAGAGTTGCCATATTTTATTAAAATGTCCTGTTTCCAACAATGAAAATTATAAAACATGGCCAGGCACAGGGGCTCAGTTTGTAATTCCAGGTCTTTGGGAGACCAAGGCAAGAGAATTGTCTGTGTCCAGGGATTCGAGACCAGCGTATGCAACCTGGCGACCTTGTCTTTACAATAAATCACAAAAACTAGGTTGGTGTGCTGCGTGCATCTGTAGTTACAGCTACTTGGAAGGCTGAAGTGGAAGGACTGCTTGAGCCCAGCAGGTTGAGGCTGCAGTGGCCATGAGCATGCCACTGCACTCCAGTCTGGGTGGCAAAGAGTGAAACTCCAACGTAAAAAAAAAAATTACAAAATAAGAAAAAAAAAAGTAAGACCTATATGGAGGAAAAAAGTAATCAGCAGAAATTGCTCCTGAGAAAGCAGATATTGGACTTAACTAGACAATGACTTTAAATCAGTTATTTTAAATATGGTTAAGGGCCTAAAGGAAATATCTAAGGACTGAAGGGAAGTATGTCACCAAATAAAGACATAAAAGAGGCAGAAATTATAAAAAGGACCAAACAGAAACTCTAAAATTAAAGAGTACAATAACTAAAATGAACATTTCACCAAAACAGTCCATTCAACAGCCGAGCTGAGTAGGTGGAAAAAAGAGTGAAGCAACTAAGATAACACGTCCATTGGGACTGTGCAGTGAGAAACAGAAAGAAAAAAGTAATAACAAACAAATGAACCATAAGACAACATCAAGCTTACCAACATATGCATAATGAGTACAGGACAGAGAAGGGAGACACAAAGGGTCTAACACAATTTTTGAAGTAACAGTGGCCAAGAGGTTCCAAAATTTGAATGACATGATTAATCTACACACTCCAAAAGATCAACTAAAAGTAAGATCATCTTGGAGAAAGAAATTCACACCTGGATACATTATAATCAAAGTTTTAAAGCAGCCAAAGACAGAGATAATCTTGAAAGCCGCAAGGGAGACGCTACCTATCATATTCAAAGTTGATTTGAAATGAGAAATCATGATGAACAGAGGGCAACGGGACGATATATTCAAAGTCAATAGGACAAGAGGAGATGATGAGTTCATGGAGATGGCAGCAGGGGAAGGACAGACCAGTGGAAAGTATCACTCACAGAGAAACATTCCAGGACAGAGTGAGAAGCAGAGGCAAGTGGTGAAGAAAAGTCAAGTAAGGAAAGGATAAGACAATGCCCACCGAATTTGATTAAAAACCAGTAGGGCCACTGGAAGCCACAGGCAAGTGGGAAGAAAAACCAAGGCATCACACAGACATTTGAAGTTGAATGCAAAGTGTGGAGACATCTGAAAAAGAACAGAATTTTAAATCATCTGCTAAAGAACCTGAGTATCAAGGAAACTCAGAATATTTATGGAGTGTGATTTTTAAAGACATTCAGTTGATTCATCGCAAAAATGTCTAATTTAACCCAGTGTTTGAATTCTTGAGAAGTGAGTGAGTAACGAGTGAGTTAGTGCTCAACATGACATTTTCTACTTCTATAGAGTAAAAAGTAAAGAAAACATTCTATGCTATATAATGAGTTATCATTAAGTCACCTCCTTGTAGAACAACAATTACATCAGGTTATCTTCATTTTTATATTTCATGAGGAATCAGTTTGCTTTATTTTTCTCATCAATGTAAACCGTTACATAATGTCGGATACTCTGCCAAAGTAATTAAAACCACAGAAATAAATGTGGAGCTCAATTTGGTAAATGTGTACCAGCAAAAGATCTGCATCTATCTACCCACATGCCACCTTTGCTCTTCTAGTCTTCTGTATTTCTGTATCTTCTATGAATGTGTCTGACCCTTTTCTGTCTCTACCTTTTCATATTAAAATACAGATACATAAACCCTTACAAAATCCTTAAAAAGCCCTTATAAAAAGTTTGTAAAACAAACTGAATATTCAGAACCAAATGTACCTGAGCCATGTTCATTTTGTGCTGCTCCTGGAAGAGAGTAGAGGCCTGTGAAGGTTCACCTGGAGAGGAGGAAAGAACAAGGGGGTCATGAGAGACTTGGTCTGCCTTATAATTCCTTTAGAGGAGTTCTCAATTATGACAATTACAATGGTTTTACTGGTACGCAATCCCATCATGATCGAGACATGTCTGCATTCACCTGCCTAAAATTCTCATCACACCCAACTGGAGAAAAGGTTTCCCAATGGGGAATGTCACTTTGACTCTTGAAAAGGGACAGAAGGACCACACAAAGGCAGCAGCACTTGAACGCACTCATCTCTGATATTAAGTCCACTTAACCCTGCATTTTTCACTGGGTGTGGTAAAAACTGTATTTTGTTAATTTAGCAACAATTTATGTTCCTTGTGACTACCTGACAAATTTGTAAAAATAATACAACAGAAGAGTCACTTAACATGTTCAGGAACACAGAGGTGAAACCCTCTATCTTCAGTCAACATAATATCCCCCAAAAAAACAACTCAGGCGGGATTAGTAAGCAAATTCTTACTGTCTTTAACCCTGAGTTAGAGCTTCCACAGAAAACTCTAAAATAAAGATGAAATGTTGTATACGAGGAATATGTTTTTCAACCTTTTGCTCAATAATGGTTACTGATTCTTAAAAAAGACCTTCTGATAAGATGCTTATGACACTCACCTGTGTGTGAAGAGCACAGTGCTTAGTTCCTGGGTCTGCCCTGGGTGACTATACACAAGTCATTAATTTCAGGTCCCAAAAGAGGAGGAATCCAAAAAGCTCCAGAATTTATTTATTCAAAAAATGGTGCACTTATTCTTACATGTTCAAACTTCAGTCACCCTCAAAGAACTCTTCGTTTGATGCAAGACCCCTATCAAGACACTTTTTTCCACTGCTCAAAACAGTTTCTAGACTCATCAATTTTGGTGCCTTTTAGTGTTTCTGCTGTTTTTTGTTTCACCTCTTCCACACCCACAAGATGTTTCCCTTTGAAGACTTTTTCCCAGACAAACAGAAAAAAGTCACTCTGGGTGAGATCAGGTGAATAGGGAGGGTAGGGTAAGGGGGTCATGTCATTTTTGGTCAAAAACTGATGAATACTCAGGGCTGTGTGGGCAAGTGCATTCATAAGCCACCAAAATGAAATGGGCAAATGTGTTGAGTCACAAAAAAAAAAAAAAAAATTACAATAACTGAAGCCAATCTCTCACAACAATGCTAGCTGGTACACTGATGCTGGTGGGTTCCTAGAACACTTACCTAGTGGGAAAAGCCTGTACTAAAAGGGGTCTGCCCTCCAAAAGATGACTGGTTTTTTTGGGGTGTCCCCCTCATATTTTGGGGCTTCCAGCATAGAAAACTCCCTCCCTCTAGTATCATTTTGTTATTATCTATGTTCAACAAAAAAGGAGTGTTAGCATAACTCTAAATGCCACATGTAGTAATGAACATGGTGTGACAGCTACTCAAAGTGCAGAAAAAGCAACGGGAAAATGAAGGAAATGAGGTGTCATTTAGGATTTTGTCAGCTGACTACATCTTCTCTGGATACCATGGTCTCACCAGCCCTCTAGTAAAGTACATTTTTTCTCCTCAGCTTGAAACTCAACCCTCTCAACCCCAGGTCACCACGTTCTGCAAGTTAGTGCACATTATCCCTGGTGGCACAGTCCGTAACAGCTCCTGAATGTGGTAACATAATAAGTCTTACTCATGCTACGCAGGAAACCAAGAACTGCCTCAGGTGAAGCAAATCAGAACTTGCGTCTTTCTAGAATCTTCTGTCTGGGCCCTGAAGCTCTGAAACAGGTCTCTGTGAAATGGGTGGTTCGCAGTGGCAGGACCTGGCATGAACTCCCTCTTTTCAGCCTCTTGTCACAGTTGCTTTCTTTCAGAAGGGCTGGGACTCGGGCCTGAAAAACAAATTCAATTTACCTGAAACTTTCATCTAGCACCCTAAGCCTGACTCTTTTGGAATTCACCAGAAATGTGCTATCCAATCCTGTGGTCATTAGCTGCATGCAACCATTGAACACCTTAAGTGAGGTCAGCGCCACGAGTCAAGATAACATTTTGAATGCAATGACTCGAGGAAAACACATCAGCAAAACTGGCTCTGCCTGCCTCTTTTGACTGTAGCTGCTGAAAAATTCTAAATGAGGCTTGTGTTTTTCATCGACTTTCTACTGGACTTCACTGCCCCTGAATAGGAATCTGTGCCCTTGAGGGAAGAGGCAGCCTCAACCTGGAGGGTCCAGGACCCTCAGTCCAAACCATGGAACTGGAGATTGCACAAATCTCAGGATAGAGTTACCACTTGGTGAGATCTGTCCACGTTCACTTCACAGT